GGGTTGTGGTTTTAAATATGAATTTTCTTTAAAATAAATATAACAAAAATAATGATCATTTCTGGTGTTTCAGGAATTCTGGACGTTTCCTCCGTTCTCGGCCCACAAAGATGAAGATGGGAACATCTACGCAAGAGGGACCCAGGACATGAAATCCGTCACTATCCAGTAAGCCAGTAGCGGGGTGATGGCGGTGGAAGGGGAGGGGTTTGTTACAGGTGGAATGGGAGGGGTTTGGTGCAGGTGAGGAGAGTGGGGTGCTGGTAGAAGAGGCAGGGCTTGATGAGGAGGGTGGAGTGGGGTGCTGGTAGAAGAGGCGGGGCTTGGTGCAGGTGGGGAGGGTGGAGTGGGGTGCTAGTAGAAGAGGTGGGACTTGGTGCAGGTGAGGAGGGTGGAGTGGGGTGCTGGCAGAAGAGGCGGGGTTTGGTGCAGGTGAGGGGGGTCGAGTGAGGTGCTAGTAGAAGAGGTGGGACTTGGTGCAGGTGAGGAGGGTGGAGTGGGGTGCTGGCAGAAGAGGCGGGGTTTGGTGCAGGTGAGGGGGGTCGAGTGAGGTGCTAGTAGAAGAGGTGGGACTTGGTGCAGGTGAGGAGGGTGGAGTGGGGTGCTGGCAGAAGAGGCGGGGTTTGGTGCAGGTGAGGGGGGTCGAGTGAGGTGCTAGTAGAAGAGGTGGGACTTGGTGCAGGTGAGGAGGGTGGAGTGGGGTGCTGGCAGAAGAGGCGGGGTTTGGTGCAGGTGAGGGGGGTCGAGTGAGGTGCTAGTAGAAGAGGTGGGACTTGGTGCAGGTGAGGAGGGTGGAGTGGGGTGCTGGCAGAAGAGGCGGGGTTTGGTGCAGGTGAGGGGGGTCGAGTGAGGTGCTAGTAGAAGAGGTGGGACTTGGTGCAGGTGAGGAGGGTGGAGTGGGGTGCTGGCAGAAGAGGCGGGGTTTGGTGCAGGTGAGGGGGGTCGAGTGAGGTGCTAGTAGAAGAGGTGGGACTTGGTGCAGGTGAGGAGGGTGGAGTGGGGTGCTGGCAGAAGAGGCGGGGTTTGGTGCAGGTGAGGGGGGTCGAGTGAGGTGCTAGTAGAAGAGGTGGGACTTGGTGCAGGTGAGGAGGGTGGAGTGGGGTGCTGGCAGAAGAGGCGGGGTTTGGTGCAGGTGAGGGGGGTCGAGTGAGGTGCTAGTAGAAGAGGTGGGACTTGGTGCAGGTGAGGAGGGTGGAGTGGGGTGCTGGCAGAAGAGGCGGGGTTTGGTGCAGGTGAGGGGGGTCGAGTGAGGTGCTAGTAGAAGAGGTGGGACTTGGTGCAGGTGAGGAGGGTGGAGTGGGGTGCTGGCAGAAGAGGCGGGGTTTGGTGCAGGTGAGGGGGGTCGAGTGAGGTGCTAGTAGAAGAGGTGGGACTTGGTGCAGGTGAGGAGGGTGGAGTGGGGTGCTGGCAGAAGAGGCGGGGTTTGGTGCAGGTGAGGGGGGTCGAGTGAGGTGCTAGTAGAAGAGGTGGGACTTGGTGCAGGTGAGGAGGGTGGAGTGGGGTGCTGGCAGAAGAGGCGGGGTTTGGTGCAGGTGAGGGGGGGGGAGTGGGGTGCTAGTAGAAGAGGCGGGGTTTGGTGCAGGTGAGGGGGGTGGAGTGGGGTGCTAGTAGAAGAGGCGGAGCTTGGTGCAGGTGGTCCTCTGTCTCCATCTCTCTCTCTTCCCGCTCTTCATAGACCATCTCCTTCCATTCTGTAGGTATCTGGAAGCTGTGCGTCAGCTGAAGGCTGAGGGGGTTCGGTTCCCGCGTACCATCCACCTGACCATGGTCCCAGGTACATTGGGGGTGACATGGCGGAGACGGGGGCGGGGTTACATGTGGGCACATCTCTATTACACGGCACGAACAGCTACTCGCCTCCAGTACTGAACTACCTCGGGAAATGGCAGAATTTACTAACTTCTATTTCTACTACAGACGAAGAGATTGGGGGTCACACCGGGATGGAAATCTTTGCGGAACACCCCGAATTCCGAGCACTGAACCCCGGAATTACCCTCGATGAAGGTGACAGCGACCTCTCCTGTACATGGGTGTTCTTTCCTTTCTCTCTCCCGCTCTATTTCTTTCTTGATTCATCTTTTTGTCTTTTTGTTTCTCTTTGTTTTCCGTTATTCTTCCTTTCTCCTCTCTCTCATTCTCTCTCTCTCTTGCTCTTGCTCGCTCTCTCTCTCTCTCTCTCTCTCACTCTCTCTCTCTCTTGCTCTTGCTCGCTCTCTCTCTCTCTCTCTCTCTCACTCTCTCTCTCTCTTGCTCTTGCTCGCTCTCTCTCTCTCTCTCTCTCTCACTCTCTCTCTCTCTTGCTCTTGCTCGCTCTCTCTCTCTCTCTCTCTCTCACTCTCTCTCTCTCTTGCTCTTGCTCGCTCTCTCTCTCTCTCTCTCTCTCACTCTCTCTCTCTCTTGCTCTTGCTCGCTCTCTCTCTCTCTCTCTCTCTCACTCTCTCTCTCTCTTGCTCTTGCTCGCTCTCTCTCTCTCTCTCTCTCTCACTCTCTCTCTCTCTTGCTCTTGCTCGCTCTCTCTCTCTCTCTCTCTCTCACTCTCTCTCTCTCTTGCTCTTGCTCGCTCTCTCTCTCTCTCTCTCTCTCACTCTCTCTCTCTCTTGCTCTTGCTCGCTCTCTCTCTCTCTCTCTCTCTCACTCTCTCTCTCTCTTGCTCTTGCTCGCTCTCTCTCTCTCTCTCTCTCTCATTCTCTCTCTCTCTCTCATTCTCTCTCTCTCTTGCTCTTGCTCGCTCACCCCTCTCTCTCTCTCTCTCTCTGACTCTTTTGCTTCTCTTTCCAGGTCTGGCGAACCCCTCGGATGAGTTCAGCGTGTTCTATGGAGAGAAGTGTGTGTGGTGTAAGTCTTCTTTCCTTTCATTACTAATCCATCAAATAGTTAACAAAGTTAAACAAAGACAGTTTGTGGCGGACGCTCTCCTCCGGATGTTGCTGAACTCGCACAGACTGATGTTGATTCTAAACACTTCTGAATAAAAATTAATTACAATGTATATCAATGAGGGGAACACTAAAACCTGGAGCAAGATCCTCACTGTGCCTCCCCCTCCCCCCTCATAGCTCCATATAATATTCAGATGTTTTCTAGACAAGGGAAGGGGGAAAGATGTTCAAAGTTAAGAGAAATAATACTTTATTCTGAATGTAAATAGTGTGAGTAATAAGGAGGGGGAGGGGCAGTTGTAATGGGGCCCCCTGATGTAAGGGGCCCAGGGATAGTGTCTCCCTCAGCAGCCTATAGAAATGCTTAATACTTAATTATCACACAATGTAACTTAATGTTATCAAAATGATCTTTTGCATATCAATCTGAAGCTAGAATGATTTCCTAAACATTGCAGGGTAGGTGTTATCGCCTCCTTCTTTTACCCCCAACAAGCATTTAAAGGAGAGCTATGGGGCAAGTGTTTTTCCCACTAGTTCTCCTAAGGGGTCACAGGAGGACATATACTAACCTCCTCCTGTGACCCACAGCTCAGTATATAGCAAAACCGGCGCGTTCCGGGACGGATCCCGACATTGCTGTCGAGATCCACCCAGCTGCGTGAGTGACAGCTGGCTCTGCCTATCTAGAGGCAGAGCCAGCCGTACCCGCCCCCGTCCGTTCCGCCAGTCAGCGCTGGAAGGATCGGAGCGGGGGAATCCCTGCAGGGAGCCGTGAGTGACAGTCACGGCTCTCTACAGGGAGATGATCGAGAAGTGAGCGAGCGCCGGTATGCGTTCTCTCACTTCCTGATCTATTGAGCCGACCTGTGACGGTCTCATTGCCACACGTCGGCTCCAACTATGAGTGAAAATCACCCCCCTCATAGTCCTCCTTTTAACCCTTGCAGTGTGGGCAGTGGGGCCCTTCAAGGGGTTTTTTATGTCTCGTGCCCGGGGTTGGGCTTTAATAAGGATTAATTGGCTGAAAACAATCATGTGATGAGAATTATTTCGCTGTAACATGTTCTAGTGTTTCTACCAATGCGCTCGTCTGCTCATCTTCTTATAATGGAGATTGATCCGACTTTCTGCTTCCTGGATCCGCAGGGATAACCGTCCATTGCAGAGGAGACCCCGGACACGGCTCCCGGTTCATAGAGAACACCGCCGCCTCCAAACTCGTGAGTTTCCTTCTCTCTTTATTGTAAAGTGTATGTCTGGGCAAAATAAAGAAGCCATATTCATTATGTCTGTGCAATGCATTTCCCAATTTATATTTATATTTATAAACTATCCTCCGAGCTGTGCGGATATATGCCAAAACCAACGTTCTCTAGTTGTTGCTTTACAAGGTAAAGTATTTTTAAATGTTTTGTTTCTGTAGTGTCGCCTTATGGCCACCAGATGGCGATGAGATACATGGAAAATAAATACATATTCCCTGTTCTCCTTTTAGCTCCATCTTGTGGCCATAATGTGATATTACATGTAAAACATTTCAAAATGTATTGAACTAATTAAATAAACTAAAGAACATTTCTTTTTGGCAAACATTCACACAGAACGAACATTCAGAGACATTCACGGGGCAAATGGACCGGCAAATTGTTTATAAATCAGCCCCCTTGAAGTGTATAGCAATGATAATAATGCCAAATAACTTGGTCCAGTATAAATCACCTTCACATTACATAATCGCTTTGATTGTAATAAATGACAGGTAAATACTCTCCGATTTGACTTTCATATAGTGGTCATGTGACCGCTATTCAATCTACTTTCCAGTGCAATTCCTAATAGCCAATCGGATCTCCTTTCACTGATTTGGTTACAGTAACTTTAAAGGAGAAGTATGAGGTGAGTGCTTTTCACTCACCTCATAGTTCTAGCCGACCTGTGACAATGAGACTGTCACAGGTCGGCTCAGTAGATCGGGAGGTGAGCGAACACATACCGGGTTCGCTCGCCTCTCGATCCTGTCACGGCTCTCTGCCGTGACAGGGGGAGGGGCTGGATTCCCCCCTCCCCGATCCTCCAGCGCTGACTGGCGGAACGGACGGGGGAGAGGGCGGGTACAGCTGGCTCTGCCTCTAGATTGACAGCTGGCTCTGCCTCTCACGCAGCTGGGCGGATCCCGTCATCTACGTCGGGATCCGCTCCGGCGTCTCAGTATACCGCGAGCTGTAGCTCCCTATATACTGAGCTTAGGGTGACGGGAGGACGCTAGTTTGTGTCCTCCCGTTACCCTAAGGAGAACTACGGGGGAAAAACACTGACCTCGTAGTTCTCCTTTTAAAGGTGATTGGTTGTTGGAGGTGACCCCGCTCCTTCTGCAGGATGATAACGTGTAACTTTCCACCAATTGGATGCTTTTCATGTCACTAATATTCATTTCTTCCTGCTTTCCAGCATTCCGTCATTAACCGTTTCCTGGAACTGAGAGAGAAGGAGAAGAGGAGGTAACTCTTTCTTTGTCATCTGACCGGTGCCAGAGTCGGTTGCGCCAGCGAGCGTTTTGTGCAGCCAATCCCGTGCAGGGCAGAGCTGAACCAATCAGATACTTTATATGTGACATCATTAGACTCTGTGTTATGTGTCAGGCTGTGCAGTCAGGTCGGAGTTCAGAGGATCGGCTCCAGGCAAACAGTGTCACTCTGCACTGTGCTTGTTGTGTATGCAATGTGTGCGGGGATCGGCGCGGTCTACTAAATTCTCTTAAAGTGACCCTGTCCCCAATATGCTGACATAGATAAAAGCAATCCATCCTATAGAAGGATAAGCTTAACTCTGACCTCCGTCCTCCCCTTCAGTCTTCTATCTGCCCTCCGTCCTTCCCTTCAGTCTTCTATCTGCCCTCCGTCCTTCCCTTCAGTCTTCTATCTGCCCTCCGTCCTTCCCTTCAGTCTTCTATCTGCCCTCCGTCCTTCCCTTCAGTCTTCTATCTGCCCTCCGTCCTTCCCTTCAGTCTTCTATCTGCCCTCCGTCCTTCCCTTCAGTCTTCTATCTGCCCTCCGTCCTTCCCTTCAGTCTTCTATCTGCCCTCCGTCCTTCCCTTCAGTCTTCTATCTGCCCTCCGTCCTTCCCTTCAGTCTTCTATCTGCCCTCCGTCCTTCCCTTCAGTCTTCTATCTGCCCTCCGTCCTTCCCTTCAGTCTTCTATCTGCCCTCCGTCCTTCCCTTCAGTCTTCTATCTGCCCTCCGTCCTTCCCTTCAGTCTTCTATCTGCCCTCCGTCCTTCCCTTCAGTCTTCTATCTGCCCTCCGTCCTTCCCTTCAGTCTTCTATCTGCCCTCCGTCCTTCCCTTCAGTCTTCTATCTGCCCTCCGTCCTTCCCTTCAGTCTTCTATCTGCCCTCCGTCCTTCCCTTCAGTCTTCTATCTGCCCTCCGTCCTTCCCTTCAGTCTTCTATCTGCCCTCCGTCCTTCCCTTCAGTCTTCTATCTGCCCTCCGTCCTTCCCTTCAGTCTTCTATCTGCCCTCCGTCCTTCCCTTCAGTCTTCTATCTGCCCTCCGTCCTTCCCTTCAGTCTTCTATCTGCCCTCCGTCCTTCCCTTCAGTCTTCTATCTGCCCTCCGTCCTTCCCTTCAGTCTTCTATCTGCCCTCCGTCCTTCCCTTCAGTCTTCTATCTGCCCTCCGTCCTTCCCTTCAGTCTTCTATCTGCCCTCCGTCCTTCCCTTCAGTCTTCTATCTGCCCTCCGTCCTTCCCTTCAGTCTTCTATCTGCCCTCCGTCCTTCCCTTCAGTCTTCTATCTGCCCTCCGTCCTTCCCTTCAGTCTTCTATCTGCCCTCCGTCCTTCCCTTCAGTCTTCTATCTGCCCTCCGTCCTTCCCTTCAGTCTTCTATCTGCCCTCCGTCCTTCCCTTCAGTCTTCTATCTGCCCTCCGTCCTTCCCTTCAGTCTTCTATCTGCCCTCCGTCCTTCCCTTCAGTCTTCTATCTGCCCTCCGTCCTTCCCTTCAGTCTTCTATCTGCCCTCCGTCCTTCCCTTCAGTCTTCTATCTGCCCTCCGTCCTTCCCTTCAGTCTTCTATCTGCCCTCCGTCCTTCCCTTCAGTCTTCTATCTGCCCTCCGTCCTTCCCTTCAGTCTTCTATCTGCCCTCCGTCCTTCCCTTCAGTCTTCTATCTGCCCTCCGTCCTTCCCTTCAGTCTTCTATCTGCCCTCCGTCCTTCCCTTCAGTCTTCTATCTGCCCTCCGTCCTTCCCTTCAGTCTTCTATCTGCCCTCCGTCCTTCCCTTCAGTCTTCTATCTGCCCTCCGTCCTTCCCTTCAGTCTTCTATCTGCCCTCCGTCCTTCCCTTCAGTCTTCTATCTGCCCTCCGTCCTTCCCTTCAGTCTTCTATCTGCCCTCCGTCCTTCCCTTCAGTCTTCTATCTGCCCTCCGTCCTTCCCTTCAGTCTTCTATCTGCCCTCCGTCCTTCCCTTCAGTCTTCTATCTGCCCTCCGTCCTTCCCTTCAGTCTTCTATCTGCCCTCCGTCCTTCCCTTCAGTCTTCTATCTGCCCTCCGTCCTTCCCTTCAGTCTTCTATCTGCCCTCCGTCCTTCCCTTCAGTCTTCTATCTGACCTCCATCCTCCCCTCCAGTCTTGCACAGTTGTCCCGGCTCCTCTTCCTCTGATGTCACTGCACACTGGGAGCTCCTCACAATGTACATTAGAAGCTGCAGATAGAGGCCCGCCTCATTTCCTGCCTGGAGGACGCCCAGCATCATCTAGCTCTTTCCTTCCCAGCCTGACTGTCCCTGGCCCCGCCCCTTTCATTAATTGGATTTCCGTTCTTCAATCATGGATTACATGGAAATTACAGCCTGCCTAGGAACACCCACACTCCTCCAGACTCCAAGTGAGCACCCCCCCCCCCCCCCACAGCCCGGGGGGGGGGGGGGGGGGGGGGGCAGGTGCAGGGAAGGCAAAGCATAAGAAGGGTATGCAGTCAAAATGCTAAAGATTGTACAATTATTTTGGGTCCCCGATAACTTTCAGGCTGAAGTCTCCCCTTTTATTGGGAACATTGTGACAGGTTATCTATATATAACGATCTCCCCCATTCATTGTCGGTATTTGTCCCCCCCACACATGACTCCCGTTATGTCTCAGATTGCAGTCCAGTCCCGGCCTCACACTCGGAGACGTCACCACCGTCAACATGACCAAAGTGAACGGAGGGGTCTCCTGCAATGTGATTCCCACCGAAATGTCGGCGACCTTTGACCTCCGCATCCCTCCGACCGTCAACTTACAGGTAGGGTGGCGACACTTCCCCTCCAGGACTCCCTTCTCCTGTCCTTCTCACCGGTGAAGGGAGGAGTAGGAACGTTTCTGTTGCCATAGCGACCGCGTACAATTCAGTCTGATCGGCTGGTGGCTTCATCGTTCCAATATTCCCTTCAATAGATTCCGTCATCGTTTTACAATCACTTGTGATCCCTCCCAGCCGATATCTTAGAAGTTGGGTGACCATAAGAAGCGATTGGACGGGCTGGGGGAATGTTCCTTCACTTTCTACGGGTCTGGCGGGTCTGGGACGTGTTTGGTGTTTTACAACGCGCAGAAAAGCAAACATTGGAATGAGCTCATCGTGAAGCCCAGTTCTGGTTTCGGCTGACGATCGTTTGGATTGATTTAAAAGTATCAAACGTTGCAAATTGGAAGAAAAATATTTTCGGACACAACAGGAAGTTCAAACTTTGAAACATTTTGTGTGTTTGTGGCCAATTTTCCTGCCATCTTTGGGGATTTCACAAAGGAAAAGTTTAAAATGTTCCATCTGTAGTGCCCGATATTCAAAGCTGAGGGACTCCGTGATAAGATTCACATGAGGTCCGATGTATCAACGTCTTCTCCTCCTCCGCAACAAATCAGATTAAAACCTGCACTGAGTGCTGGATGCTGATTGGCTGAGGGAGATCCCATCACTTCTTTTCAGGATCGCAGTACTACGTTGAGCTCTGCCGTTGATACAGAAGAGTTACAACTGAACTCCAGACACAAAACCTTTCATGTAAAGTGTCCGCGAACTCCGTATACTAATATGAGGCAAATAGTTTTGATGTAATGAAAAACAATGTGTAAATATCTATGTTTAATAAGCGGTCACATGACTGTTATTGGGAGCTGCGTCCCGGAGTCCCGGGCTCTGAGGGGGTGGAGACACCTTGGGATGATCAGCAGCTTCTGCCAACAACGCATATCCCAGCGACTGTCACCCAAACTGTACCGGGCTGGGTGGAGGCGTGGGTCAGCGGAAGGCTGACCACAGGAGCACAGGCATGCCAAGGTGTCGCCACAGCGTCCTGTAGCTCCAAAGTTGAAGGCAGAGACAGAATCCATCCCCTCATCCCAAAGGAAGGGGGCTGGCAGGACCACCAGCTGTGAGTGTGTAGTGTTATTTTAGCACTTTCTAGACAAGACCAGTCACCCTGCACAAGGAGAGAGAGCAGCAGTGACCGGTCTTTATTACAGGAGGGGGCGGAGACGAGACCAGTCACCCTGCACAAGGAGAGAGCAGCAGTGACCGGTCTGTATTACAGGAGGGGGCGGAGACGAGACCAGTCACCCTGCACAAGGAGAGAGCAGCAGTGACTGGTCTTTATTACAGGAGGGGGCGGAGACAAGACCAGTCACCCTGCACAAGGAGAGAGAGCAGCAGTGACCGGTCTTTATTACAGGAGGGGGCGGAGACGAGACCAGTCACCCTGCACAAGGAGAGAGCAGCAGTGACCGGTCTTTATTACAGGAGGGGGCGGAGACGAGACCAGTCACCCTGCACAAGGAGAGAGGAGCAGTGACTGGTCTTTATTACAGGAAGTTCCGAGTCTCACAGATCTGGAAGACATACACAAAGCTCTCTGAGATTCAGGAAGAACACACAGGTCTCTGGTACGATATTTTTGGGGGTCTGTGTTGCATTTGATGACCAGGTGAACTCCAGCTGTCCTTTTCCTAGAGCAGTTTGGATCAGACATCAGATTTTATTTTGTTCCGGCTCATGAAAAGCTCCCAATGAAATGATTCCGCCGTATTTCCCTGAATGTCGCTTCTCTCCCTGCAGGAGTTTGAGTCCCAGATCGAGGGATGGTGCCGTGGTGCTGGTGATCAGGTGACCTGGGAGTACCACCAGGTGAGTGCACCTCAGGGGG